AATTTCTCTTTCTTTTTGATATTCTTAATTGTTCTTAATATTCACTATTTTTAGGGGCACCTGGGTGGCTCAGTTGGTTAAGCGTCCAGCTCTGTTTTAGCTCAGGTCATAATCTCATGGGTAGCAGGATTGGGCCTGTCTCAGGCTTGTGCGCAGCTCAGTGTCTGCTTGAAGATTCTCTCCCTCTGCCCCTCGCCACTCTCTCTCTTTCTCTCAAATAAATAAATAAATCTTTAAAAAATATTCATTATTTTTATGCATTTTTTTTTATCTCCCTTACTCATTTTTTTTATTTTTAAAGATTTTATTTATTTATTTGTCAGAGAGAGAGAGCACAAGCAGGGGGAGTGGCAGGCAGAGGGAGAAGCAGGTTCCCCGCTGAGCAAGGAGCCTGATGTGGGACCCTGGGATCATGACCTAAGTCGAGGGCAGATGCTTAGCCAACTGAGCCACTCAGGCATCCTTCCTGTACTCGTTTCTTCATGGCTCTTTTCATCTGCGTCTTTTTACTTTCTTTAATCCTGGAAAAATAGTTTTTAGAGTTTAAAAAATTGTTTTTTCTCCTTTTGCAACTCCTATTATCTAGATATTGGCACTTCTACCTTAATCTTTTTTTTTTTAAGATTTTATTTTTTTAAGTAATCTCTACACCCAACATGGGGCTCAAACCTATAACCCTGAGATCAAGAGTCACATGCTCTACCAACTGAGCCAGCCAGGCACCCTGCTTCTACTTTTATCTTACACAGATGTTAACTTTTCTTTTTATATTTGCTTTCTTTTTATCCTTTCCTACTGCCTTTCAACTTTTTCATTAATCTGTTTCCTACATTTTTCTTTAGCTGTATGCAATCTACTATTCATCGCATGTTGTTTACTTTTTATTTTAACTTATATATCTTACACCTCATATGTTCATTTTATTCTTTTTTGTGATTTTGCTTGATGCAGTTTCCTATTATTTTAATTTACCTTATAATCTTAACTTGATTGATAATGCATATTTAAAATTTTGGTGTGTTTTGTAACTCTTCTTCAGGTTATATTATGTTTCAATCATTCCATCCATTTTCTTCTAAGGGAGTTGTACAGTTGTACAGTTTTTAGTTACTTTGGTTTTTGATGTCCTATTCTCCTGTTGTTTTTGTCTGCTTTACCTGGTAATGTGTTTTGGGTAAGGGCCAAAGGCCTGACCCTTATCTATGTCATTTTCTAGTAAAATGGAGGGGGTGGGTTTGATCTCTAGGACACAGAACTCCAGGGATCCCCAAATCAGTTAATTATTTCCACTTGCTGCCCCCCCCCCAACCAACTCCTCCAGGCAAGGTCTTATTGGCCTTAAAGAAGGTGTAATTTTGGAAGAGGCTGTGTCCCTAGACTGTGATTCCTTAGGATTTTGAGGGAGAGAGATATAGAGAAATGAATGCCTGAGTCTCTCAGTAAAATTAATTTATTTTATTCATGCTTCACCTCAGCAGTGTTCTTTTGCTGATTTACCCAGAGATCTGGATTATTTCCTTAAATTTCTTCTGAAAGTAGACAGGCATTGATTGCCCCAAGGCAATGTGGGAGACAACAGAATAATTTGAAACTTCCTTTTTCTAACCTGTTCTTTCACTGTGTCTGCTAACTGTTCTCCACCCCAGACTGGAGCTACCTTCTTCCCTTGCAACATACATTCATCACTTTAAAACAGCCTTCAGGAGGACAGGTACTGCATGGAGCACTGGGTGTTATATAAACAATGAATCATGGAACACTACATCAAAAAGTAATGAGGTACTGTATGGTGACTAATATAAAAATTTAAAAATTACATACATACATACATACATATATACATACATATATAAAATATATATACATACATATATAAAATAAAACAGCATTCAGCTCCCTCAAAAATTCTTAGTTCTTAAAATGTTTTCCTTTTATAATTTAGATAAAGGAACCAGCAGCTAATGGTAGTTTGTCATTGTAGCAGGATTCAGCAAGTGTTGTATTTTAACTGCTGTTCATAATACAAAGAAAAATCTCTATTGTATTTATAGTTTTCCCTTTTTATTCTGTATTTTGCTTACTTGTATCTTCTTTTTGGCTTGATCAATCTTGCTAACAGTGTATCCCTTGTTTTTACAGATTTTGTTTGTTTGTTTATTTTCAGGGGTAGGGACAGAGGGAAAGGGAGAGAAAGAATCTCAAGCAGACTCTGCACTGAGCAGAGCCTGATGTGGGACTCGATCTCATGACCCTGAGGTTATGACCTGAGCTGAAACCAAGTCAGATTCTCAACCGACTGAGCCACCCACATGCCCCATAACAGTTTATCTCTATCATTGGTCTTATCAAAGAACAAGCTCTGGTCTTGTTAATTTAATGAAATTTTTTTGTTGTTATATACTTTACTTATTCTTGTTTCTTCTGGTTTTGTTTTTCTAATACTTCTTAAATTGAATGCTTAACTCATTTAATATTCTTATGACTAATGTATTTAAGTCAGTTTATTTCCATTATTTCATCTTTAATTCAAGGGTAATTTAGTAATAGCTTATTTAGTTTCTAAATGTCTCAAAGCTATTCTTTATTATCTGAACTGCTAATTTAATCGATTTGCAGTTGGAAAACATAGTTTGTATAGTATTGATTCTTTGGAACTATTAGGGCTTCATTACCTAATACATGGCTTATTTTTATACATATTCTACATATGCTTAAAAATAATGGTGAACTAGGGTGTCTTACTGGCTCAATCAGAAGAGTATGTGACTCTTGATCTCAGGGTTATGGGTTTGAGCCCCATGTTTGGTGTAGAGATTACTTAAGTAATAAACTAATTAATTAAAAAAATAATGGTGAACTATCCAATGAATGGAGTTATTTACATATCTACTGGCTTGATCTGATTTATTGTTTAGAAATTTGATATCTATGCCAATTTTTTGTCTGCTTCAACTATTCATTTCTCAGAGATGTGTTTGTAAAGTCATCCTCTACATGTATTGACTTACGAATCTACTCATTTTTGTCAGTTGTTCCTTAAATTTGTCACTATCTTTTGCTATTGAGATACATATTTTAATATGCTCTAATTTCTTTTTGGTCTTACTCTCAGCCCTTTATCTAATCTTGGCTATGTTATTCTCTGTGCATCAGTTTCTTTATCTGTAGTAATTTTTACTAGTTGTTAAGAGTAAATGAGTTAATATTTGTAAAATATTTGAATAGTGCTTGGCACATAGTATATGAGCGTTTAGTTAGTATTTCAATGAGCAGAAGTGGTAATTAAAGCTATGGGCATGCCATAAATCATTTGAGGAGACATGACAGTTTGAGAAAATAAGACGATCAATGATGAAGATTTAAGAAACTCTTTTATTTAATGGCTGAGAAGGGAGGGATACACCTCCAAAAAAGACAGGAGTAGACAAAAAAGTAGGAGGAAAACCAACAAAGCATATTCCCAAATGCATCAAGAGTGAAGGAATAATTAATAGTGCTGAATACAGATCTGAATGAATGTGAGGTAAACAGCATTAATTTCAACAGCTGAATGAGGGATTTAATGAGTACTGTGGATGCTGTGACGTATCTCTGGGACCTCCCTTGAGGAATAAAGGTCTTACTCCACCAGTTGCTGGGAGTGCTGCCAGCAGACATGTCTCAGCTATTAACCTCCTTGAGTAATTGCCTTGGCTAAAGCGATCCTCCTTGCCTAGGGTCATACACCTTTCCTTGGCAAAGCCTGCATTCCTACTGGGGAAAACTTTGAAAGTACATCGCATCTTAGAGGTCTATGTGGAATTGGCTAAGGCCTTTGTTGAGACTGGGCATCACAACTTAACTTCTCCCTCTTCCCAATTTTACTACCTTTCCCTCCATTCCCCAAATACTGATCCCTAATAAACTTCCTTCACACCAAAATACATTGCAAAAGTCTGCTTCACAGGGAAATCAATCTGTGACAATGAGTTTCATTTATAGGAAGAGGTGATGGACATGAGAACTGAGAATGCGAAAGGTAAGAAATAAATGATAAAAACATGGAAGAAGCCAAGAAAGGTCAAATTATTCAAGTAATTTGCTTTCACAGATCAGAGGATGACCAAAACCAAGACAGTATAAAAGGCTCACCACCCTGCCCCTTCTTTAGTATGGGAGATATCTGACTGAAAGATAAATGCCAGTTACACATACAGAATTCTGTATTGCTGAAACTAACCTTTCTGTTAATGTATCAGGACATTAAGCTCTTTAATCAGGTACTGGCTCATTAAAGAGTCAGAGGAATGAGTAACCAGCATTTTAAAAAGACGAACATAAACTTATGAACTGGCCACCTTATGCCAGCCCTCTAAATTTGAACAGTCAGTATGAGCCAGCTTACATTTTTATTGCCTATACCTGATAAAACGATCTTCTAAACCACTCCTCCCACAACTTCCTTCTAGCTCCAGCTGAACTAAAATGTCTACTCTTTAAGCCAGAGACTTAACCCGTTTCTCAAATAAGAGATTCAACAACAGGAAATTAAGACTTCTGAAAAGAATTTCTCTGGAGATCCAAATGAAGATAAAAAAAAAAAAAATCTATATGGAGAATGAAACTTTTGGAGAATTAACGAATTAACCATATGACCATAAATAATAATTTTGACCGAGGAATGAGATAAGCCTGGGGTGGAGGAAAGGTTAAGACTATAAGCAAAGCTTCAAAAAAGGAAAAAAACGAGAAACCCCAGAAAGCAGCAAGAAATACAGCGCTGGCTACACGCAGGCGTTTTAAAGGTTCACACACCACCAGTGCACAACGAGTCCAAAAGAGCCCTCCGACATCTTTTAAAGCACTGGCGGGAAAGAAAAACTTACACTAGCGGCGAACACAGAAACAGAAAATTTACGAATGACCCCGGAAACATTTTATTTTGCGTAGGTATCTTGAGAATATTCTTTTGTGATTCGTTACTTGATCCGGAAGAAGAGATAGCAAACCTCACTTGCGATTGGGTCCTATCATAAGGGCGGTGCTTCAGCGAGCCAGTCACCTTGGCAACCGGACGTGACGATCCCGGAAGCGGCTGACTGAGCTGTGCCCGGCTGGCGGCTTCGGTGGGCGGGGTCGGCCGAGCCCTTCTGGCACCGTCTTCTCCACGGACCCGGCACTGCTAGGGGCGGTGCCAGTAAGGCCACGCCTTCCGTGTTGACTCCGGATGGCTCTGGAGCGATGTCGTAGGCCCGCGGGGACGGAGACTCGGGCCGCTCCTCTCTGAGGCTAGGGCCGGAGCGGCGTCGTCAGGCGCTTTGATTCTTCCGGTTTCTGGTGGCTGCGTCGCCTCTTTCCAAAGGCTGGGGATACGCCCTCTCTAGACCCTGCTGTCGCCCTCCTTTCAGCATCGAACCTGAGTTGCTCCGGGACACCTCCGCCCAACATTCTCTCGCTCAGGTTCTCGCCCTCTGGAGGACCTCGGCCCCCCATTGCCCACTTTCCTGGATGTGCTGGCCCCTCCCACCCCTCTAAAATGTCCAATAATCTACAGAGGGTCTTCCTGAAACCCGCAGAGGAAAAGTCAGGCAACGCCTCGCAGTGGTAAGTACCGGTTTCGAATCTCCCTCGACACACCTGCCCCTCGCCCGCCTCTTAGCAGGGTGCCGAGTCGGCCGTCGTTTCCGGACGCTCCCCCGCAGTGGGAGCGACTGCAGGGCTCGTCACTTGGGCCACTCAGAGCCCTCAGCGCGCCTCTCTTGGAAACGTAAACCCTCTTCAGAGCCTGACGCGGGCAGCCTCGGCCCTGGCTCCGCAGGACTCCAGCGTCTCAAGTTTCGTAGGCGACAGAGTAGATCTCCACGGGAGAGGAAAATCAACATGGCCGACGCTCCTGTGTGACTAAAACCTTCTGGAAGATTCTCGCGCACTCGCAGAAAAACACGCAGAGCCCAGCACGGAATAGCAAGTGCAGCCCAGGTGGCGCTGGACCTTCAGTGAAAAAAGCTATCATTTAAGAGAGTTAGTGGAAAGGAGAAGAAAAATTTGTGTAGTTGATGAGTATATGAATTTAGAAACTGAGAATTTGATAGAGTGAGGGAATGGATTTTTTAAAATTTCAAATAATAGTTTTATATGCAAAGAAAGAAAAGTAGAGTAATTCTCATGTGAAATCGATCCTTTGGAACAGCGTGTTTGAAGCAGGTGTAATGAGAATGCCGTCTCTAAGTGGATGTCTCTGTAGAGGAACTGTGACATAGTGAGATCGTGGTGTTTCTTAAAAAGACTTAGTTGCACATTTACAAAATAGTTTATCACTAAGTCAGTTTTTTTTTTTTCTTAAAGGTTATGTTAGTCAAGATGAAATAAAATGGGAACAAAACTGTTAAAGAAGATGGAATATTTTAAGTTGTAGACTCCATGGTTAGTGGATGTATAATCAGTGGTGAGAAAAAACTTAATGGGTCTCTGCGGAAGGAAAATGTGAAGAAAGCATGGAAATTGAGTTGTAAAATTCATGGAAGAAGATTTATGTTTGAAGAACATCAGGCTGCCTAAATTTAATTCTAGCTTTGACATTTACTGTTCGTGAGGCCAAGTGCCTTCTCTCCAGTCTCCTTTCCAGTAAGTAAGAGTGCCTAGAGATATTTTAAGGACTAAAAGAATGAGTATATGTAAAATACTTAGTATAGGAAAAAAGAAAAGCAGTACTTACATGTTAGCTATTATTATTATGAGAATAAGAGTTTATTTCTGTACAAATTTTAGCCCAGGAAGTAGGTTTCTTTTAATTACAAGTAGATGCAAAGCGGAATTATAATAACGACTGAAAAAGCGCGCACAATATTTTAGGAAGAAATGATCACTAAATGCGGTGAGCCAAAACAATATTGAAGAACTGCAAAGAAAGAACCATTGCGTTTCAAATCGTAAAAAGAGCCAGCTTGTGTGTACGTATAACGTTTGTTGGTTTACTTTTGGTGAAAGCTGGGTGGGGAGAGGCAGAGATGGTGCTCTGTATAGATAACGAAAAAGTAGAATTACTTTCTAATGGTTGTTCATTTCTTTTCTCTTGTTTTGGTATCTGGATATTCGATGCCATCTGACTTACCCTAAACACAGTTTGTTTTAGGATTGCATTGTTTTTCAACATTAGAAATAAGGTAGAATAAGAACTTAACGTTTTTATTTATTGTGTACTTTAATTCTTTTATCCAGTTTCTAAGCCTTTGGCTATCTGTATTTGGCATTTTTAAAAATATTACAAATTGAAATATATTTTGGTTACATTCATACGTCATTGGAAGTTCATTAACTCATTGGTTTATGCATTGTTTTCATCATCTTCAAATGCATTTATTTCTTCAAATCACTGAGGTTTGACATCACATATTTGGAACATTTACCAGATGCTTTTCTGAAGCTATTGGACTCTTATTTTGCTTATTGCTTACGTATTTGATTATACTCTGTTTTGTAAGTAACAATCTGCATGACGTACAAGTATAACTTAAAAATCATTTGATTAATGTCAGCTCTTTAATTTATTGGAAGCTTGGTTTCCTTATTTTTCTGATAATTTTGATGGTACTAAATCATTTCATAAACTTAAAATGAGTATATGATTTTATTTTCTATAGATGCTTGGATTATTCTTGAGTTACTGCTGCTTTTTACAAAGTTTTTCGTTATTGCTTTACAGAATGTTTATTGTTTAATGTATCTCTAATTCATCAAGGCATAAATTTTAAGAATAAAACTTAATGTTAGAGTGCAAAGGAAAAATCTGGAAGATATTTGTGATAGTAGGCATTCAGTTTTAGATTGGGGCTTTTTTTGCAAAGAGCAAAGCCGGAGTTAGAATGGTATAGTAGAAAGACGGTAGGCTTTGGAGTTAAAGCAATCTAGATTCCTATCCTAGTTTACCAGTATTATCTGTATAGTTCAAACATTTGGTTAAAAAACATTCACTGAGTGCCTACATGATAGACTGTGCTAAATGGAGACACTGACTAAAGAAGAGGATATGAACCATGCCCATGAAAAACCTTATAGTCTAGGGGGAGGTGATGTAATACAATTTTAAACAGTGTTATGCACAGGATGCTGTGAGAGCACAGAGAAAGGAAATTGTAGGAAAGGTTTCTGGAGCACCTGAGTTTTGGAATGTAAGTGTCCGCTATCCAATTAAAGATGAATGCAGGCTGTGCCCAAAAAGGGAACTGGTAAATAAAGCACTGGTATGACTTATTACCAGGAGTCAGTATTTTTGTTTGATTCTGTACTACAAGCAGGATAGATAGATAACTCTTAAGGGTTTGGTTTGCTCTGCTAGAGAGATTAGACTTCATCTAGTGAAGGTCATTCAGAGGATTTTAAGAAAAGGTTGTCATGTTCCTGTGTGCATTTTAGATAACTGATGGCAGTGCGGATTTGGGGGTGAGGGATCAGGCATATAAAGATTCTGTAAGTTGTCCTTTCAGAGATTTTTGAGGGCCTGAACTAGCTGATGTAGAGTAAGGGTTGCATTCAAAGAAACACAGAAGGGAAAATAGGCAGATTTTGTCAGTGAATTGGCATGAAGAAAAGGGGATCAATTATAATGCCAGTTATCTGGATAGATATTGGTAAATTGAAATGAGGAGAACACACCAAAAAAAACCCAAAAAACAAAAAACAATCAGAGAGGTATTTGAATTTGACACTCACGCAGGGTCAGAGCTGAAATTAGATACTTAAGTCATCAGTTTAGAGTTATTATAATAAAAGCCTGTGATGATACGTCTCACAATAATGAGAATTAGGATGTGACTGGCAACTGGCTTCTGTCTGCACTTAATCCTTTGTTCTTAAATGGGGAGCTAAAATGAGTGTCCTCAGCAGTGGGCTTGGTTTGGTTAGAAACGTGATGTTTCATTATCAGTTTATTCTGCATTTAGTTTTGTACAGTGTGTTATATTATCTTTACTGTTTGGGTGTGTAAGAGACATTGACACGTATACCTTATAGGCTAACTGAAATCTCTTTCTCATTAATCACTTCATGCAGTTGAATTTTTTGGACCCTGTTATGTTTGGTTTATGCTAAAGTAAATTCAAGAAAGAGGATTGGATTGTCGAAGAGAGCATGTAGTTCTGAATAAGTTATTTAATATTACTGAATCTCCAGCTATAAAATCATAATGGCAATACCTACATTGCTGAGCTGTTTATCAGAATTAGAGTTAATGACAACTATTTACAATAATGTATCTATTATGTATATAATATTACATAGTATATATTATTGTATGTTATTACATTATGTATATTGTGTATGTACATAATGTTAAATCATAGATGGAAAAAAGGTCTAGCAGTTGAAAAAATATATTTTGCAACAATATCTGCAAAATGTTCATTAGCGTGTGAAATTTTTATTATTCCATTTCTTATATGTGAATGTTTTATGTCAATATTAGAATAATTAAAAATGTCAGAAGTTATGTAAGTATCTTTAATATACTTTTTATGAAAATTTTCATACCTTTTTATCCAAGTTCTTATATTGTCAAAAAACTACCGGATTCACTTACTTGTTCTTGGACACCAATTGTGTATTTTAATGGAATATGATAACTAGCATATATTGGGAATTTATCATAATTCCAACCAGTTATTTCATTTATTTCTCGTAGCAAGCCTTACTGTCCCCATTTTGCAAATGAAGAAACAGATTCAAAGAAGTTAAGTAAATTTACCAAAATTAATTAACTAACAATTGGAAGAGCCAAGATTAGAAGTCTGTAAACTTTCTAATGTATTCTTCTTTTTGCTTTTTTTAAAAAGTCTTAAACTGTTACTGTGTTTGCAGTATAGTTCTCAGTTCAAACACCAACTGGTTTAAAGTAACTAGCACATTGATGATTTTTCTAAATTTTTAAGTAACCAAACCAGAGCATGGGATGCAGAATCTGATTCTAATTTTAGTCCTAACATTAGGTAGCAGAATTTGATTTTTAAGAAACAGAATCTTTATAAGATTTTAGTTATAGTTACTCTGTTAAATGGAAGATCTCTTCTAGGGCTGAAAAAAAAAAGTATATTAATTGAAGAAGTGTGAATTTCATCCTGATTTATTATTTCTCTCCTTAGCATTCTACATTCCAGTTTAATTTTTAGGACTCATTCCATTTGCTACTAGGAAATCATAGTGGTGTCTTTTTGTTTTGTTTTGTTTTGTTTTGTTTAATGATGACTTGGAGGAGTTAATTCAGCTAACATTGTTTACAATGTGCCAGTTGCTCTATTAGGTGTAGAGGATATACATATGAATTGGATAACCTACCCTTAAGGAATTTATGGTCTCCGGTAGATTATGTGAATCTCTATTGATATACTGGCATAGAAGAAGCTGTATTTTCCTTTGTTTTTTGGAGGGGAAAGAAAGAGAGGAAAAATGATTAGACTTGAAAATAGTTTGTGCAATAAAAATGTTGTGCAATATAAATGTTTTCTGTAGAGCAGAAACATAGAGGCCATATAATGAAGTATGTGAATGCAGTATCAGAAGCCTGTGTCCTTTGTTTAAAAAACATACCAGTTAAAAATGTACATTCCCATATGCAAATTATTATAAAAGCATTATAAAAGTTCTGCTCTGTTGAAGTTTCTAATCCGTGAGCCAGATGTTATTGACAGATTCATTGACAAAACTATGTAAATAAACAAAAGGAGACTAGAGAAAAGGTATTGAGATAGTTCAGTTAAAGTGGAGATTTGAAAAAGCTCCCTTTTTTATATAAGTTTTTTGAGGGCCTACTATATTTGGAATTGGGAGAACAATTACAAAGTAAATGATATAGTCTCTGTAAGAAAAACAAAATTTTACTTATTTTTTAGAAGACATTATATAGAAGGCATTATATAACTCCTAGCATTAGTGGCACCCGGGGGAGTACTGGGGGATTTTAAGTTGGAAGAAATTAATGTGAGTTTGAGGGACTTGCAAATATTCATGGAGAAGATGGAGTTGATCCTCAATTTATAGCTATGTTTTAAATTGTTGGAGAAGAAAAAAAATACCCTGAAGAATACTTGGAGTAAATAATATATTTGGGATAATCAAGAATAGTAAAGAGACCTCTCTGGGAAGATCAGAGATTTTTAAGTTGAGAAGATGGTACTGTTGTAGAGATTGGTTAGGTCTAGATTTTAGGTGATTTTCAAGTCAAGCTGAATTGGCAATGATGAATCATTGGAACTTTGAGAAAGGAGGTAACAGGATGAAAACAATGCTTTAATCTGCCAGAGATACATCATAATAGTTGCTGAAGTCAGAAAAACTAGTTTAAAAGTCAAGCAAAATATAGGGTTGAGATAATGAGGTGTTGCAGGTCTGATCTAGGTAGTAGAAGTGGCCATGGTGAAAGAGAAGAATGAGTAAGAGCTGTAAAAAGGAAAAAAACTTTACAGACTCAGTGATTCATTCACTATGCATTTATTGAATGTTTACCCTTTATAAGCATCTATACAGGGTGCTTTGGGTGAATCAGAGATAAATAAGAAGGGTGATAAAGGTAAGTCAGAGATGACTAGGTGATTTAAAACCTAAGTGACTTGGGAAATAGTAGTGCTGACATGACTGGATTACTGGATGGTAGGATTAGAGTACTAGTTTTCAGTAGAGAGTAATTTTAACTTTAAAGTCATGGTTTAAAAAATGTCATGGTATTAAAAGTGAAAATGTTTGGTAAGACAACACAAATATGGAACTGAGGTCAACATTAGGGAATAGGAATAAAGGATATAACAGTGGGAGTCATTAATTGCAAAGGAAATAGTTGAAGCAATTGATGCAATAGTTGAAGTAGTTGGTACAATCTAAGGAAGAATGTCTTGAAGGAGAAACAGAGTCAAGAGTTGTGCTTTGGGGAATAGTCATAGTTGGATACTTAAAATGCAGAAAATGAATGAGAAAGGAAACATTAAGAAAAACAAGCGAATTGTGCACAATGGAACTCATGTTAGGTAGAGGTTCAAAATGCGCAATTAGCTAGCAGTATCAGTTTCAGTAGGGAGCACCTAGACAATGAGGATAAAGACAGATTTAACTGTGAGAACATATTTGGTAATCTTTGAGAATGAGATGTAGTAGAATAATGGGAAAGAAAATAGACTGCAAAAGAGAGTGAATTTCTAGACAACTTTTTGGCATACCAGTGACCGGAAGTTGGTAGGTGGTCTTAATTGTGGTTCATGAACATCATCTACCAACTTCCTGTCACTGAATTTGGAACATAAGTCATAATCATCTCTCTAATCCTATGTGACTTTAGCATCTATATGGATAATCTCTTTGTCATCTAGTCTTTCATCAGTACAAAGTTCTTTTTCTCCGGTGATCTTAGTCTCCATTCTGTCACTATCCATCCACTTCTGTAGTTCTTGTTGTCAGATGGGATTGCTGCATTTATGAAATTCTTGATTCAGGCATTCTCTTTGCTAAACACCATTTGTAGTATTTCTAGCTTACTTGTTTAAATACCCCACTTGGACTGTTTTTTAACTTTATCTGGCCCTCCAGTCCAATAATCACTTTATTTTCTGCTTATACTTTTGCCTTTTGTGTTCTCATTTTCTTCTCCTCCTGTTTAGTTAATAATTTTTACCAATATCCTAAACTCTTTTGTTCCTCTTTGAATTTTTTGCACCATTCTTCTGAAGCCACTCCCTGGATAAACTCAGGGATTTACTTTTACTTTGCTTATACCCAGTGAAACAAGGAAAATCTCACAAAAGCACAGATTGGTCTCACTATAAATTCATAATCACTACCTATATTGTTGGGCCATCAGCGTTGTCTGATGACTCTAATATTTTCTGAAGTCAACTTATTCTCTCTCAGACTGTTTCACATCTTTTTGATTCTCCTCAAATCTCCATTTTTGCTCCTATTCTTAGATGACGTTATATCCTTTTCACAGGAAAATTAAAGCCATTAGATCAGAATTACCTCAAACTTCGGGCATCAAAACTATAAACTTAACTGCAAATGTGCCTAACCTGTTCTTTCAGTGCCAATGGAAGAAGATATTTCTCCACCTCTCTTTAAGATTCAATTCCTTTACCTCTCTGCTGGTTCCCATTCCCTATATCTTCTTATCAAATTTTACACTTAATTAGCCCTGTTTGTCCTCTTCCTCTTGAGAACTCATATGAGCATTAATATATGCTCTGGTTTATCTAACCTTAAAAAAGAGAAGACAGATCTTGACCTCATTGAGCCTCCATCTACTTGCCAGTTCATAAGAGTTGGCCATACCTTCTATCTTAATATCCTTCCTTCATGTCAATTCCTCTGCAACTTTTTTTCTCCACCAAACTTTTTTTAAAACCATCAGTGACCCTCATGCAGGTTTACATTTTAATCTACATCCTACTTGGCCTGTCAGAAACTTTTAAATAGATTTGCCCATTTTCTTGAAACTCTCTTCCTTTGGCTTCCATTGCATCAAAATCTCTTGGATTTCTTTCTACTGCTCAAAGAAAATGGGAAGCTGCTAAAATATTTTAAGCAGGGAAGGGTCAGTTTTAATGTAATGAAAGCTTTTAAAGGGAGAGGATGTGGTTGAAGAAGAGACCAGTTCTGAAGCTACTATAATAGTCCAAGCCAGAGATACTGTTTCCTTGAATTAAAATGGAGAGAGATGGTTTGGAAAGAATTGAAAAGATAAAATCGGGAAATTTAGGAGTTAATACCAACAGGATTTTGTGATAAATGTAGATGATTAGAAAGCAGGAAATTGCTTGTTCTGATTTAGGCATCTAAGATGGATGATATGTCATTTATCATACAGAAAGAAAAAAAAAACATGGAAAGGCCATGTTGAGTTTTAAATGCATTTGAGATTCTGAATGGAAATGTCTTGAGGGAAGTTGGGTATATATATAAGCCTGAATCTCAAAAGAGTTAAGATGCAAATCTTTTAATTGTTGCTGTATAAATGGTAATTTAATTGAAGTTATGAACATAAAAGAAATAATTGGGAAAAGCTTAAGAGTAGGAAGAGAATTCAGTCTAAGCTTTGGTGAATTCCAGCATTTGAAGGTTGATTCAGGTAGGATGAGTTGACAAGGAAGACCAAGGATTCATTACGGAAGTAGGAGAATGTCCTATCTAGGAAGCCTTGGGTACAGAATGTTTTAAGAAAAGGAGCAAGCATTTTTGTTTTCATCTAAATATAGTGTATCATTTATCTCACTTAATGATAATTGCCTGTTTACATGTCCATATAACCAACAGTTTAAGTTCTTTTGGGGATTGTGGGTTGAACTAGCTTGGAGACAAGCAAATATTTTCTTTAAAGGGCCAGATAGTAAATATTTCAGGCTTTGTGGGTCGTATGATCATTTCTGGTGTAACTACTCAACTCTGCCATTGGGGCTAGATAGTAAATATTTCAGGCTTTGTGGGTCGTATGATCATTTCTGGTGTAACTACTCAACTCTGCTATTGTAGCATGAGAGCAGCCATATACAGTATGTTAAAGATGAGTGTAACTATGTACTAATAAAACTTTATTTATGGATGCTGATACTTGAATCTCATAATTTTCACAGATAAAAAAATACTATTGTGACTTTTAAAAACCATTTAAAATAGGAAAAACATTCTTAGCTTGTGGGCTACACAAAAACAGGGAGGGAGCAGAATTTGGCCAACCGCTGTAGTTTACTGATCCTTTTCCCATAATTGAGCCTGGTGCCTGAACCATAACAGACACTCAAGTAAATTTTTGTTGAATAAATTAAAGTTGAATAAGTTCAGGTCTTTTCTATGTTTTTGGGGGGCTGGGGAGGTAATTAAGGTAGGCTTTTTGCTTTTAAGTCCTGAAAGCAAGAATTCATACATTTATGTTCATGCATCTCTTTAGAGATTAACTTTTAATTTGCTAAAAGTAAATTTAACATTTTGAAGCACTATCAAGTGGCCAGAAAATGGTTTTAAATATTTAAAAGGATATAGTTATATTATTTTGGGTTGCAGAAAAGTAAAACTGAGTTCCAGGGCTTCCTAGAATGCATAGACTTTTTGGCTTTGCTTTTTATTAATATGTAGGTTTAAAAACACTTGTGGGCAGTAAAATACACTTTTGCATCATTGAGAATTCTAATCATTATTATTATTATTTGTCTTGAATTTTTGTTTTCATTTGATCTTAGTCATATAAGGTCATACTGTTGGTAGGACATGAACTCTGCATTTATGTTGCTAGAATTTAGCATGAGAGACAGTCTATAAGCAAGTGAACAAATAGATTAATATATATTGACAACTTGTGATGTGTACCATGAAGGAAATGAACAGGTGTAATATTATACACTAATTATGAAAGATGGGCAAAGATAGTTAAAGTGGTCAGAGAATGTATCTCTTGGTTAGTTACTTACGCTGAGACCTGAGTTATATGGATGAGAGAGGAGAGGAGTATCTAGGTAGAGAGAGAGAGAGCATGTGTGATTACTCTGAGTCCTATGAGAACTTGGTATTTTCCAGGAACTGAAAGGTGGTTTTAGGCATAAGTAACTTGAGGTAGCTGCATTGAAGAAATCTACAAATAATTGCTTACATAACAGAGATTGGTATATTTTGGATTTTTAAAAATCAGACAATCTGTACTAAGATACAGCTCATAAGTATCAGGATCAAAATTGGCTAGGTTAAAAAAAAATGTCCCGTGTGTTCCACATTCATTGGAAACCATTTAGCTGAAATGACGTTGCTGTTATGTATATGGATTGACAGGCAGTTGGAACTAATGTGAATAATTCCCATACCAAGGGCTATTTAGCACTAAACTTCAGATATGCTGAAACAATAAGTCAAGGAAGAAAATGGTTCCTACATGAGTAACTCCATTTAGTCTCTGAAAATGTGGCACACTAAGCTATCACCATAAGAGATGCCTTAAGCAAAAGAAGGATGGCTGACAGTAGGACTTGCGAGTCATTGTCAGTGGGAAGAGCACAGCAGATTGGAAAGAGGGTAGAAAAGAGTGAGGGAAATAGAATAAGCATAAATGGAGATGAAATGAGAATCCTGGGCAAATCAGAGTGAAGAAGGAGGACAACAGGAAAGAATTCAAGTAAAAAAAAAGGGAGGATGCTAATAGTTTAAGAGGAAAATATTCTAATAGGCATAACTTTATACAGGGTAAAACCTTAGAAAAGTCTAATTTACCCATTGCCTAGTCATATGAGAAATTCTAAATCAAAGCTGATCATATCTTTGATTATCTCTTCTACTTCAAAATCTTTGTTTTGCAATATTTCACTTTGAAAACTCGAAGTGACAAATTATATACTTTTACGATATTTTATAAATTTTTATCTTTTTAAAATAATATTTGCAAATATTTGTTTTTAAATAAAATGTATATACCGTCTAGTATGTTGTATTGATTTACTCAATGTTCTTTTAAGTGTTTCAGGCTGCATGTACCAAGTAGTTCAGACGATTGGCTCGGATGGAAAAAATCTTCTGCAATTACTTCCAATTCCTAATTCTTCTGGAAATCTTATACCGCTAGTTCAATCTTCAGTCATGTCTGATGCTTTGAAAGGGAATACAGGAAGCCCAGTTCAAGTTACTTTTCAGACTCAGATTTCCAGCTCTTCCACAAGTGCATCAGTTCAATTGCCCATTTTTCAGCCAGCCAGTTCTTCAAACTATTTTCTTACAAGAACAGTAGATACAGCAGAAAAAGTTAGAGTTACTTCTGTGGGAACTGAACATTTTACCTCATCAGTTTCTAAAGTTCAGAGTCATGGTGTGAAAATTGATGGACTCACCATGCAAACATTTGCTGTTTCTCCCTCCTCAACACAAAATGATTCACCTTATATTTTAGTAAATACTCAGAGTCTTCCAATGACTGTGAAGTCTCCAGTTTTGCCTTCTGGGCATCATTTACAGATTCCTGCCCATGCTGAAGTGAAATCTGTACCAGCGTCTTCATTGCCTCCTTCAGTTCAGCAAAAGATACTTGCAACTGCAACCACAAGTACCTCAGGAACAGTTGAGGCCTCCCAAATACCAACCGTTATTTACGTATCTCCTGTAAATACAGTGAAAAATGTAGTTACCAAGAACTTTCAAAACATTTACCCAAAACCTGTTACAGAAATAGCAAAGCCAGTGATACTAAATACCACACAAATTCCAATGAATGTTGCTAAAGAGACACAATTAAAAGGTGGTCAGCATTCTCAAGCTGCTCCTGTGAAATGGATTTTTCAAGAAAATCTACAGCCTTGCACTCCATCTCTTGTTCCTGTTAAGTCTTCAAATAATGTGGCTTCAAAGATTTTAAAAACTTTTGTAGATAGGAAAAGTTTGGGAGATAATACTATAAATATGCCATCACTGAGTACGGTCAGTCCTAGTGGGACACAATCCAAAAGTATGCCTATTAAAGATAATGCCTTGGTTATGTTTAATGGGAAAGTCTATCTATTGGCTAAAAAGGGGACAGATGTTTTGCCATCACAAATTGACCAACAGAATTCTGTTTCTCCTGATATTCCACCAAGAAAAGATACATCACAAATAGTGAGTTCGAGTCCAGTCACAGAAATATCCAGAGAGGTTGTAAATATTGTTTTGGCTAAAAGTAAATCTTACCAGATGGAGACAAAATCACTTTCAAATACTCATCCTGCTTCCATGATCAATCTAAGGGCAGAGAAGAATAAAAAAGTGGAGAAACCATCTCTTTCTACCCCAAACCCACATAATATGAATCAATCCATTAACTACTTAAAACAGAGTAAGACTTTATTCACAAAGCCAGACTTTCCAGATGGATTTAGTGCAGTACAAAATGCCCCCAGAAAAGGAAATATCATCCAGAGCATAGAGAAAATAAGTTCCTCTGTTGATGCAACAACTTTTACTTCACAACAGTGTGTTTTCAGAGACCAAGAACCAAAGGTAATTTTCCCATGTCAGGGTGTTCTTTTTATCTATCTATATAGAAAATTTTTCTTTCTTAATTCTCAAAGTTAGTTACCTATGATACCTCTTCCCTGCTCCTTTCCCATCCTCCACTCCATCACACAAATACCATACACACATGAATGCTTAATTAAGTCAAAGCTTTCATCTGAAGGAAATGTTTGAGGAAGATAATAGAGTCTTTCTCTTAAATCATTTGGCATGCCAAATCTTTAAAACAAAATCAAACAAAAAACTCAGCAACAAGGTTTAGATGAGTTGGTGAAAGATAATGTGAATTCACAGTTTGGTAAAATTCTGTGTGTGTGTATATATATACATGTATACACATATATATACATATGTACATACATATATTTACTAGATTAATGTTAGTATATGGAAAGATCAATATTACGCATCTAGGAGTGCTGGGTTTTTTGTTTGTTTTGTGATGGTAGGGAGATACTGGCAATTTTTTTTAGGTAGATGGTAGAAGGGGTAGAATGGGGCTGATCAGTACCTTTCAGTCATTTGTGGAAATAGGATTTATCAACATCTTTTTTTTTTTTTAGTAGACAAGTTTCCCCCCCTTTTTTTTAAACCCTTTCTGACTCTTCAATTATTCAGCATATCCACATAGTTACTTTTCTGTTCTACTTAAGATATGTGTGTCTGTGCTAAGTACTTGTGCCCACTCTTTCCTTATGTAGAGATCTACTTAATAATGTCAGTGTTTCTCCCCTTCAGTATGGAATTCATTGACTTCTAGATATGTAAGGTGGTAAATCCTGAAGTATAAGATTGATTAAAGGCATAAGACTTTTCCAGAAGACTACAGTTTCCAACTAATGTTTTATAGATTATTTTTAACTTGTCATTAGTCTGTATTCTTATTTCAGTTTGAGAATCAACTATCTGTTAACCTTCCCAGTGCAAGAAAGCAAAATAAATGAGAAATTTTAAAGGAACAGTTTTAAGTTTGTACTCAGTTAAATTCATTTTTTCAAGTGCGGGTGGTAAGGCAGGGGTAATGCAAACCAACCATTTAGGACTTTAGAGCATGATGTTTTAAATAAGATGAGATGAACACTTAGTTGCTAGTCTGATAAAATAGCCTAAGTAATTAGTAGTATTGTTTGTGTGTTTTGTTTTCCTAATTCCAGATCCAGAATGAGATGGCATCAACATTAGAAAAAGTTACTCAAGAAAGAAATGACAAGAACCATTCCCAAGGAGGAAGCAATAAGGCATCATATCTGAAGAATGATGCAGAATTTAAAAAGATATTTGGTCTCACTAAAGATTTGAGAGTGTGCCTTACTCGGATTCCTGATCATTTGGGCTCTGGAGAAGGTTTTGATTCCTTTAGCAGTTTGGTGAAGAGTGATACTTACAAAGAGACTGAGTTGATAGTGAAGGAAGAAAAGAAAAAACAGGTAATAGATTTTTGGTGTCCTTTGTAGTTACTCCAAAGGTTCATGAATGCATTTTCTTGATTTGTTTTTTTTTAGTCTGTACATTAATATGAATGATAGTTATCAAATTTGCATATTTGTATATATTATATACCAAATCAGTGTTAAAGAGAACCATATATACAAAGGTAAAAATACATCCCCAGTTAAAGTTGTTGTATTAAGTGTTTCTATTCACCTGTTTATTTTTTTTCATCAAAAAATTATAAGACAATGCCCATAACTTTTTAAACTACTTATCCTACTTTGAAGAGCCTATCTAAAATAATCCAACATGATCCGATGAGCACTGGGTGTTAAACACAACTAATGAATAACTGAACACTACATCAAAAACTAATGATGTACTATATGTTGGCTAGTTGAACTTAATAAAAAAATTAATAAAATAAAGAATCCAGATGTAGGGAAAATATAAGCATGTAGATGTTCATTACAGTATTACCCTTGATACAAACATTTTAAGAACTCTACTTGGTCGATAATGATGAAAAACATCCCTACAACTTTGCCTATTGTTATTCTACTTAGGAATATATCATTATACTGCTTAATATCCTGAACTTTAGATTAGACACCAGTGAACCTTTCCCAATGAAAATCTTCCATATGTGCTTACTGTGGGAAAGGAAGCACAAAATTAAGTCAATTCTTTTTCTCAAGTTCTTTACAAATGGCTGTTATATTTTGGTGCTAGATCAATACATCTAATATTTAAGCAAGGAAATGTAAATTAAGCAATTTTCTTCTCTGTGAATATCATTAGGACATTGCTATTCACTTTAGTACTGTACAGTGCTAAACAATTTTTTGCTGTAGTTCTCAGTATATTTTGTTGAGTTGAATTTAATAAGTATGTTACCTGCAGTATCCTGTTAAATTTGAGAGCACACTGTCTATGTGGCAATAATTTGTTTTTCTTTTGGAATCTTACTCAACATAACAACAGGGTTTTGATAAGAAAAGAAAAGCAAAAACCGTTAAGAAGATGGATCACACAAAGAAGAGAAAAACTGAGAGTGTTTATAACACAGCTATAAATGGAGGAACTAATGTCAACAATTCCCAACTCGTCAACAGTATTTTACCAACTTCGGATGTATCACGCCATAACATTCTCACAAGCCGCAACAAAACCAGAGAAGAAAAGAGAACTGAGGTTGAACGCTATACCCCTGAGAACCAGGAAAAAGGCACATTGAGTTCAAATGCAGCTTTTGAACAAAGTCATTCTTTTAATAAAAATTATACTGAAGATATTTTCCCCATGACACCACCAGAGTTAGAAGAAACCATTCGAGATGAAAAAATAAGAAGACTTAAGCAGGTGCTGAGAGAGAAAGAAGCAGCTCTTGAAGAAATGCGTAAGAAGATGCACCAAAAATAATAAAATGTTGCTATACTTAAAGACTGCAGTGAAATAGCTGGTTTTTTTTCATAAACTTTTGCATTAAGTTAATTATAGATGCATTCTGAAAGTGTCTGAATATGAAACTTGTTTTTCCATCAGTTAATGATTAAATTTTATTTAAGGACTACAAAAAAGGTTGATTTCACACATGACTCTTGTGAATAATCTACATGGGGTATCTAAATCTTTGTCTAGATACCTTTTTTTGGAAGGAAAAATTTTCTATTTTTCTATTATTTTAATTAGAATTCCCAAAGTTTGAGTATTTGTGCAAGGTTTTTTTTTTATTGTTTGCATCTTTAGCTGAACCGCTCAGGTGTTATTCCAACAGTAGATAATTATTGTATACTACTGAAATTATACAATGCAAGGGAGGAAATCAGCTCTAAACAGCCTTGCCAATGGGCTTATATATGTACTCAGTCTGTATCCATGATACCATTGTTGTAAATTTTTGTTATTTCATGAAAAAAATGTATTATAGCAGTATTATTTAAAAATTCAAACATTTCTCAGAGTGAGGGACACTTGTGGCTTTTACAAAGTAATTTTATATAATCCCAAATGGGTTTTAGAATCCAGGCTATATAATGTATTGGTTGCTTAAAGTGATAAGTTGTTATTCCTAGGTAAATACTTTTTCTTCTTGATCCTCCCCCTCCTCCTCTTTTTCTTATGCTCCTTCTTTTTTGGAATATGTACATATGTAACTGTGAAAAATAATGGCCACATTTAATACGTTTTAAAATTGTAAAGTATACCTTTTCTTAGTGGAGGCAAACATTTTTCTGTCTAATTATGCTTGATTCAGAAAGTTCAGAAGTTGTGTGGGGATAGGGATTCATGGGAAGAAGAAAAAGTTTACCAAAAAAAGAAAAAAAGAAAGAAAAAGACAAATCTCTGGAAGTAAGGTCACATAAAACCTATACACATTGAGAGGGAGTATAGAGCAAATGCAAACTGATCAACTAAATTCTCGTGCCTTTTATTTTTTTTCTTGTAATAACAGTTTTATTGAGATAATTCACTTACCATAAATTCACCCTTTAAAAGTATACAATTCAGTGGTTTTTATTCACAGGATTGTGCAACCATTAACATGACCTAATTTTAGGACATTTTCATCACTTCCCAAAGAACCTCATACCCATTAGTAGTCACTCCCCAGACCCTCCACCCCCCAGCCCTAGGCAACCATTAATATAGTTTATGTCTCTAGGGACTTGTGGAAATTCAAAGCAGGGCACGTGGGTGGCTCAGTCGTTAAGCGTCTGCCTTCAGCTCAGGTCATGATCCCAGGGTCCTGGGATCGAGCCCTGCATCGGGCTCCCTGCTTGGTGGGAAGCCTGCTTCTCCCTCTCCCACTCCCCCTGCTTGTGTTCCCTCTCTTGCTATGTCTCTCTCTGTCAAATAAAATGTTTAAAAAAAAATTCACAAGCATGGTAGGAATTATTCAGTGTGTTTTCTTATGTGATTGGCTTCTTTCACTTAGTTTAATGTTTTCAAGGCTTATCGGTTCTGTAGCATGTATTAGTACTTCTTTTTTTAAATTGCTGAATAATATTCCATTGTATGAATATACCACACTTTGTTTTCCATTCATCTGTTACGGACATTTGGGTTGTTTACACTTGGCTTCTAGGATATTATGTTGCTATGAATGTTTGGGTATAAGTTTTTATGTGGACATATTAGTGTATTCTTAGGAGTGTAATTGTTGGGTCATATCCTAACTCTGTTTAACATTTTGTGGAACTGCCAAACTATATATAGGTGTTTCTTACCCTCCTCCACCAAAATGGATCTTGTCAAGGACACCAGTGACTTCCATGTTGCTAGATCTAGCAGTTGTCTTAATTTATCTATCAAGGGAAATACAAGTTCATGAATCATTGCCTCCTTTGAAAAATTTTAAAACATTTTATTAAAGAAGCAGTACATGTGCATTGTAGAAAATTTAAAAATACAGCAAGCTACAGTATTAAAAATTGAAGCTTCATATTCTCATCACACTATAAAATATTGATGTTGGGGCTTGGAGATACATAATTACCTCTTTCATTAGGTTTATTTGCAGGTATCTTATGGTTTTCAGTGCAGTTGAAAATGGGGTTGATTCCTTAATTTTTCTATTCCTTCATTATTGGTGTATAGAAATGTAGCACATTTCTGTATGTTGATTTTGTATTCTGTGACTTTACAGAATTTGTCTATCAGTTCTAGCAGTTTTCTGGTGGAGTCTTTGGGGTTTTCTATATGGAGTATGAAGTTATCTGCAAATAGTGAAGGTTTGACTTCTTCCTTGACAATTTGGATGCCTTTTATTTCATTTTGTTGTCTGATTGCTGTGGCTAAGACTTCCAGTACTATGTTAAATAACTGGTGAGAGTGGACATCCCTGTCTTGTTCCTGACCATAGAGGAGAAGCTCAGGTTTTCCCCATTGAGGAGGATATTAGCTGTGGGTTTTTTGTAAATGGCCTTTATTATGTTGAGGTATGTTCTCTCTAAACCTACTTTATTGAGGGCTTTTATCCTTTCTTTTATTAATGTGGTGTATCACATTGATTTGTGAATATTGAACCACCCTTGCAAACCAGGAATAAATCCCACTTTATCACAGAGAATGATTCTTTGAATGTACTGTTGGATTCTGTTTGCTAGTATTTTATTGAGAATTTTTACATCCATATTCATCAAGGATATTGGCCTATACTTTTTTTGTGTGTGTGTCATTTATTTATCTGGTTTTGGTTTCAGGGTAATGCTGGCCTCATAAAATGAATTTGGACTTTTTCCTTTTTTTATTTTTTTGGAATAGTTTGAGAAGAATAGGTATTAACTCTTCTTTAAATGTTTGGTAGGGATCTCCTTTGAAGCCATCTGGCCCTGGACTTGTATTTGTTGGGAGATTTTTGATTATTGATTCAATTTCTTTGCTGGTTATAGGTCTGTTAAAGTTTTCTGTTTCTTCCCATTTCAGTTTTGGTAGTTTATATGTTTCTAGGAATTTGTCCATTTCTACCAGGTTGTCCAATTTATTGGCATATAGTTTTTCATAATATGCTCTTATAATTTTTTTGTATTTCTGTTGTGTTGGTTGTTATGTCTCTTCTCTCACTTGTGGTTTTATTTATTTGAGTCCTTTCTGTCTTCTTTTTGATAAGTCTAGCTAGAGGTTTATCAGTTGTTTTTTTTTAAAGAACCATCTCCTGGTTTCACTGCTGTGCTGTTTTTGTTTTTGTGGTCTTTTTGTTTTTTCTATATCATTTATTTCTGCTCTATTATTTCCTTCTGGCTTTAGGCTTCATTTGTTCTTTTTCTAGCTTCTTTAGGTTGGAGATACATAATTAAAGGCTGTTAGTAAATAGATAATTTGAAGTCATAGGTCTGAATAACATCACTTAACACATCGAATAATATCACTTAAGATGGTATAAACAGAGGGTAAAATTGTGGGCTCATGTCTGAGTACATTTAAAGGTTGGGAAAAGGACAATCATGAATTTTGAGGATTGGAAGAAGTGAATATTAAATGAATTGTATTTATAAATTCTTGAATAGTGTCTGACACACAGTGTTCATTAAATAAAATAAATTCAACTAAAATCACCCTGATATATTGCATTCACCTTCCATTTCATTTCATTTTCTTACCTGTTTGTTTTAGTCTACATTCTCCTTTGATTTTTCTGCTTTATATTAAGGTTTTATTGATAATGAAATGATTAAGCACCTACATTTCTTCTGATATTATATACCATTATGCTGAAATGTGGCTTGAATCCTTTACAGCAAAATCCCCAGTTTGTCTATGCTGATGGTCTCAAACTCTTACTTTCTCATTCTGAAATTCACTCAAATTAGTGTTTTCTCTTTACCACTCCACTGAAACTGTTTGTTTCCAACGTTAAAAATTTGCTAAATCTAATGTCAGTTCTTAGTCTCTATCTTACTTGACCTGTCAGTAGCATTTGACAGTTCTTATCAGTCTGTCAGTGAAATGTGTATTTCACTCTGCATCCAAAGCACCATATTCTTGTTTTCCTACTTCCTTATTTAAGGCTGCTCCTTCTGTCTCTTTGGATGATTCCTCACCTTCTCCATGATTTCTTATATGGCTCAGTGCTTGTATGTCTTTTATTTTACATCTATACTCGTGTTGACCTCGTCTAGTTCTTAAGCATCAGTGCTTCTGCATACTATCTTCAGGAACTTTCCTTTGAACTTCAACACTGTATATCCAATCATCCTGACATTACCACTTAGAAATTTGATTAGCATCTCAAAATTAACATGGTTCAGACCCAGCTTCTGATTATCATCCACACCCCAAATTTGCCTCAACCAAGATTTTCTGTAAGTTAATGACAAATCTAGGCTTCTGTTCATTCAAGTGGAAACACTTGAGAGTCCACCTTGATCTCTCTTTTGCTCATAAGGAAAATTTTCTGGTTTACATTCCCATGATACCTGCAGTGTGACCATGTCTCACCATCTCTGCTGTGACTACCTTGCTTTAATTCATCTGGATTATTGAAATAACCAACTGTCTCCCTGCTTCCATAAGTATCCTCCTACAACCTGTACTTAGAATGATAGCTGAGTGATTTTGCTGAAAGTGTATTACAGTAAGGAGGGGGAAGGAGCCAAAAACCCAATAGAAAAATGGGAAAAATACATGAACAGACAATTCACCATAAAAGATTTTAAAACAACCTGAAACATACTAAAAATGTTCACATTCACTCAAATTGGACAAATGCAAATTAAAACCACTCAAACCATTTCTCATTGGTGAGACTGGAAAAGATCTGAGAATATGGTAACACATTCTGTTGGCAATGCTGTGAGGAAATAGACATGCTTATACATTGCTGATGGGAATACAAATTGTACAACTCTGAAGAGAAATTTGGCAATGTCAAACAAAATTTCATATGTATTAAGCTCTCAACCAATGCAGCCAGCAATTCTAAGAATCCACCTTGAAGCTATGCCTCCAACAATATGAAAATACATATGCAAAAGTTTTTAATTACAGCATTTTTAATCACAAAGTATAGGAGGCAGCCCAAATGCCCATTCATAGGAAAGAGTTGAAAAAACCATAGTATGTCCACACCATGGAATACTAGGTAGCTGTAAGAAAAGAATGAAGAACTTAACTGATATGGAGTGATTTCTAAGACATGCTGTAAAATGAAAACAAAGTACCAAAGAATATATATAGCATCCTACCCCTCATATAAGAAAAGAAATAGAAGAAAATACATAGACATCTATTCATTTGTACAAAAGAAACAGGAAAGATAAACCAAAAACTATTGACTGTCTAAGGGGAAGAGAAAAAGAAGGGGAATGGGTTAACAGGGATGAAGTACAATAACCTGTCTCTGATAATATTTTTTTGTCCATAGCTCTGACTCTTAGAATCATAGAAGTGTTTTTGAATACCCTTTACATACCCCCGGATAAACAAATGATTAAAACGGAAAAGGAAATAGGGGAACCCAAAAGGGAATGCAAATACTAACAAATGAAAGCATATATTACAAAAGAATAGCATGAGCACACTTAAGGGAATGGGAAAGAAAGCTAACCTAAGTGACTTAGGAAGCGGTATCTTCACCAGGCACTGAAAAGCCAAAGGCTTAAGTGCTGTAATCTACTTGGTAAAAGTGTTTCCCACAGGGGTATGAGTTAGCAATCCTGACACTACCTTTAGTTGTGTACTAGAATTGAACAAATAAGTACACATATATTGTAGATAATGAGAGACTGGTTTCTCACTGTTGGAAGATATTATAAGGAAAGGAGGAAGGCTAAAATAAACCCTGTGGTATTGGGTTAGAATAAGAGGCATTAGTATAAACTAAGGTTTTTAAATATATATTCAGGCAGATAATACACACATGGGTGTATGTGTGGGTTATACATACATATATACACTCATATGCTTCCTAACTTTGTTGGGATGGCCTAGAAGAAGTGACACTCCAGAACAATGAGCACACCTAACACAGAATCTTGGTTTCTAAACCCCATTCTTCAAATAAAGAACCAGGGCTCATTGTAGAAGTGGATTCCAGGACAGGCAACAAAAATACAAGATGAGCTTGGAACATCTTGTGATGTCAGAAGGTAAGGAAATGCCCCCCAAAAGATGGGGGAGTATTTCAAAATGAGCCAATTTGAAGGATCTTCTAAAGGCCAAAACTGGAATAACTTGAACAATGAATAATGATGGTATTTGACTTTTTTTAAATTTTTATTATGTTATGTTAGTCACCATACAATACATCATTAGTTTTTGATGTGGTGATCCACGTTCCATTGTTTTTGTATAACACCCAGTGTTCCATGCAGTGCATGTCCTCCTTAATACCCATCACCGGGCTAACCACCCTCCCCCCCCCAAAACCCTGTTTGTTTCTCAGAGTCCATAGTCTCTCATGGTTTATCTCTCCCTCTGATTCCCCCCCCTTCATTTTTCCATTCCTTCTCCTAATGTCCTCCATGCTATTCCTTATGTTCCACAAATAAGTGAAACCATATGATAATTGACTTTCTCTGCTTGACTTATTTCACTTAGCATAATCTCCTCAGTCCCACTCATGTTGATGTAAAAGTTGGGTATTCATCCTTTCTGATGGCTGAGTAATATTCCATTGTATATATGGACCACATCTTCTTTATCCATTCATCTGTTGAAGGGCGTCTCGGCTCTTTCCACAGTTTGGCTATTGCGGACATTGCTGCTATGAACATTAGGGTGCATATGGCCCTTCTTTTCACTACATCTGTGTCTTTGGGGTAAATACCCAGGAGTGCAATTGCTGGGTCAGAAGGTAGCTCTATTTTTAATTGTTTGAGGCAACTCCACACTGTTTTCCAAAGTGGCTGTACCAACTTGCATTCCCACCAACAATGTAAGAGGGTTCCCCTTTCTCTACAACTTCTCCAACATTTGTTGTTTCTTTCCCTGTCCATTTTGGCCATTCTAACTGGTGTAAGGTGGTATCTTAGTGTGGTTTTGATTTGAATTTCCCTGATGACTAATGATGATGAACATTTTTTCATGTGTCTGTTAGCCATTTGTATGTCTTCTCAGAGAAGTGTCTTTTCCTATCTTCTGCCCATTTTTTGACTTGATTATTTGTTTTTTGGGTGTTGAGTTTGAGAAGTTCTTTATAGATCTTGGATACCAGCCCTTTATCTGTAGTGTCATTTGCAAGTATCTTCTCCCATTCTGTGGGTGGCCTCTTTGTTTTGTTGACTGTTTCCTTTGCTGTACAGAAGCTTTTTATCTTGATGAAATCCCAAAATTCATTTTTGCTTTTTTTTCACTAGCTTTTGGAGATGTATCTTGAAAGAAGTTGCTGTGGCTGATGTCAAAGAGGTTACTGCCTATGTTCTCCTCCAGGATTTTGATGGATTCTTATGTCACATTGAGATCTTTCATCCATTTTGAATTTATCTTTGTGAATGGTGTTAGAGAATGGTCAAGTTTCATTCTTCTGCATGTGGCTGTCCAATTTTCCCAGCACCATTTATTAAAAGACTGTCTTTTTTCCATTGCATGTTTTTTCCTGCTTTGTCAAAGATTCTTTGACCATAGAGTTGAGGGTCCATATCTGGGTTCTCTATTCTGTTCCATTGGTCTATATGTCTGTTTTTGTGCCAGCACCATGCTGTCTTGGTGATCACAGCTTTGTAATATAGCTTGAAATCGGGCAACAGGATGCCCCTAGTGTTGTTTTGCTTTTTCAACATTTCCTTGGCGATTCGGGGACTTTTGTGATTCCATACAAATTTTAGGATTGTTTGTTCCAGCACTTTGAAAAATGTCATTGGAATTTTGATCAGGATGGCCTTGAAGGTATAGATTGCTCTGGGTAGCATAGACATTTTAACAATGTTTATTCTTCCGATCCATGAGCATGGACTGTTTTTCCATCTTTTTGTGTCTTCTTCAATTTCTTTCATGAGTGTTTTGTAGTTCCTAGAGTATAGATCCTTTACCTCTTTGGTTAGCTTTATTCTGAGGTATCTTATGGTTTTTGATGCTATTGTAAAAGGAATCGTTTCTCTAATTTTTCTTTCTACAGTTGCGTTGTTAGTGTATAAGAAAGAAACTGATTTCTGTGCATTGATTTTGTATCCTACCACATTACTGAATTGCTGTATGAGTTCTAGTAATTTGGAGGTGGAGTCTTTTGGGTTTTTCACATAAAGTATCATGTCGTCTGCAAAAAGAGAGATTTTGACTTCTTCTTTGCCAATTTGAATACTTTTTATTTCTTTTTGTTGTCTGATTGCTGTTGCTAGGACTTCTAGTACTATGTTGAACAATAGTGGCAAGAGTGGGCATCCTTGACGTGATCCTGATCATAAGGGAAAGGCTCTCAGTTTTTCCCCATTGAGGATGATATTCACTGTGGGTTTTCATAGATGGATTTTATGAACTTGAGGAATGTTCCCTCTATCCCTATACTCTGAAGAGTTTTTTTTTTTTTTTTAAGATTTTATTTATTTATTCATGAGAGAGAGAGAGGCAGAGGGAGAAGCAGGCTCCCAAGGAGCAGGGAGCCCGATGCGGGACTCAATCCCAGGAC